TTAAATTAATTTATCGATTCCTCGCGTTAGAAGAAGTTTCCTTGCAGTTTTGTTTCAAAGAGTTCGCAAGAACCGTTCGTTCACTCGAGCGATATAAAAGGGAGGGCAAAAAAGGGGACAGAAAGCTGTAAAAGAGCAGGTAATTAAAATCCTTCGACTGCTCTGCTCGTTGCGCGCCATGGTAACTGATTTCGATCCGGGTTCGCTGGATCGTGCGGGGAATTTTAGGCGCAGTGCGGTGGCGATGCCAGATACGTATACCTACCGAACTCGGCTAATTGCGAGCGGAATAATTAATGCCTGCAAGAGCAACGAAACTCGACGCGCCGTACCGGTGCGAACGTACGTCGCAGGTGTCTGTAGCGGCTGTTTTCTGTCACACGTTGTTGCGTGATATAATTTTGCGTAGGATGACAAGATCACGTTACACCCAAGAGTAATCTTTAACTAATTCTTCACGAATAAATAAATTTAACAGTATCAAGTTTGACTCGCATTGTTTGCAATTGTCGGTTTGTAAATTAAATCGAAAATTATTCTACACCCTAAGTAGACATGTAAGATTGTAAGTTAACAAGAAAGATTTTTGAATATTTATAAATCATTATAAATGTCTTTGTCTACGTAATAAAGCAATTATCAATTTAACATAATAACGTATTTAAAAAAAATAAATTCTGGATTACATTTTATTAGATATCAAAAAGACTGCACCAAAAAATTGTCATCAGTTGGTATAAACTGGAGACTATTACTGTCTGAAATTTATTTATAGAAATATGTGCGGCTATTGTTGGGCATTTCTAAAACGTCTGAAAGCTTGTATCAAAGCTAGAAATGGTCATTTTGAATGTTGATTATTATATATTTTTGGTATTTAATAAAATATAACTAACACACTCCAAAGTTGAAATTATTCAATTTAAATTAAATTAGAAACTAAATTTTTTTATAAATATACACAAACATAACTGGTCTTTTTTTGTGAATATACGTTATTATTGATTTGATAAACGAAAAATTTTATAACCAAATTTTTTTATCACCCTGTATGTTTTATTTGTTTTAAAACAGGCAACAATTATAAACAAATAAATCTTATTTTACTATTTTAACTGGATAATTTGTTATCACCGTATAGGATGCTATTTGTTTTAAATTTAAAATTTTTGATGTATATACAAAATATTACTTTTAATGAATTGTATAATTCAGATTGAGTAAGATGTGGATAAGAATAAAATAACAAGCTATTGTGTTTCCTGTGCAATGAGCGCGACGAAATAGCTTTCGAAATTACGTAGCAATTCATTTTTATAACGGTGAAATATCATATAAAAAGCGCTTATTTTCGCAACGAGATCGACTACACTCCATTTCATAAAGTCTCTCCCTTCTTTTTACATCGATAAGATCTCCTCGCACGCCACGGCCATTTAATAATGAGAAATCTTGCTACAAATAAATTAACAGATCGTAAAGAATAAAAATTATTACGTGAGATATATTTAAGATACAATTTTCTTTCTACATGTGCGCCTGCTTTATATTTTATATTAAAAGAAAGAAAGAAGAAGAAATTTCATATTAAATATAAAAGAGAGAAACGGTTTTCGAGAAAGGAAAAGACCGACTTTCCCTCTTTCTTTCTCTGTGCTTCGTAGTTTTTCTATTTTGCAACAATTGTCTTCTATTTCATTTTGTGTAATGTCGAGAAACAATTTCAAGATTGGACACCTTTATTCGAACAATTGAATATTTAAATAATTATCTACGATTACTTTGGGTCGAGCTGGTAAAACCAAATTGTCAATATTACTAATAAGTAAACCTACCCAAGTGATAACTCTCCGATTTTGATGAGCTTTTAGTATGTTTTTCTCCAGACAAAAATAAGCGGCACGTATTTTTTTATACGTGTCCATACGCACCTTTAAAGGGTGACATACCCCTTTGAAAAAAAATCGGTTTTTTTCTTTCGAAGCGAATATCGTCGAAAATATAAGAGATAGAAAAAAATTTCTGAAATAAAAATTGAATGGCTTCAAGAGTACTTTACAACTACACACACAATAAAAAAAATTTTTTTAGTTATTTATTTATTGTATACTTTCACCCACCACTCATATTTTCAAAAATTTTTATATCTTTATATGATGAAAATTAAAGAGCATAATTTAATTAAAACAACAGTGTGTATTTAAATTACTTTCCGTAAAACTATTTCTCAAAAATGGACGAAAATGTCTCTATACGCGTGCGCGTGTGAGAATACGTATGGAGCGCGTATAGAGACGTTTTCGTTCATTTTTGAAAAATGGTTTTACGGAAAGTAATTTAAATTCACACCGTTGTTTTAATTAAATTATGCTCTTCAATTTTCGTTATATAAAGATATAAAAATTTTTTAAAATAGGGGTGAAGGGTGAAAGTATACAATAAATAAGTAATTAAAAAAATTTTTTTTTATTGTAGTTGTAAAGTACTCTTGAAGCCATTCAATTTTTATTGCAGAAATTTTTTTCTATCTCTTATATTTTCGACGATATTCGCTTCGAAAGAGAAAAACCGATTTTTTTCAAAGGGGTATTTCACCCTTTAAAAGTGCGTATGGGCACGTATAAAAAAATACGTGTCGCTTATTTTTGTCTGGAGAACAACATACTAAAAGTTCATCAAAATCGGAGAGTTACACTTGGGTAGGTTATTTATTTGTAAGAATTAGAGATTTTGTATTCAGCCGAACTGTTTGAATACGTTTGTTCCGTTATTGATGATGTTAATCTGCAATAGATTTGGTCGATGTTCAACGGATGTGTGTGAATGAGTGAAATATATATAAGCTGTAACTGGATTAAACGGAGTCTCAGTCGCCGGGCGTCGCCCGAGTATCGATCCGTCGTAAGAAAACATTGGCGTTTCGATGAGTTATGCTTTGCTATCAGTTCGACATCCATCTCGTAGAAGAAAATATCAATCGCATCTTGGAATCAGACTCGATAGGATCGGTGATGTGACAAATTCACGCGACGAATGTAAATATTTATTTCAGCCTGTCGTAATGCCTCGTTGATCGTCTCATCATCGTCGATCAATAATTTCGTTCTCAACGTGAAACGAGTGAAAAAGCTGGGTTGAATTCTCAAAGTGACTCGCGAGACGCATCCCTCGGTTCCTTCTTTCTCTTCTATTCAGCGAGAAATATGGTGATGAAAGAGAGAAAAATATTATCCTGGGAAAGATTTCTCTCTCGCCACAATGCATTTGACCGTCGTTGTTTGTTTCGAAAAACGTGGAAACTTGTGGTGAAGATAAAAGAGATAGGCAACGGACAGAAAGAAAAATCGAGAGTCCCGTAATTACTTTTGCCTTTAATCGTTTCATTTCGCTTAAACGCGTAAACCGGAAAGTGGATCGTAGAAATAGGATATCGTGTCTTCCTGCTCGGATATTGGTAGCGATGGACGAAACTTCCGTAAGATAATTATGAGGATCACGAAGAGACGCCTAGCGGTCGTAAGAGGGTCCGGAGTTAAATGGTGACATATATCGAGGCAGTTAAGACGATTATGGGCTATTTCTTTCCTGATGGTGGATATTCGATTACAAATATTATATACTTCTTTTTTATGGATCAATATTAATTTATATAGACAATAAGTTCCTTTGCAAAAAATACTTTTTTTTAGAAACGTTCTTTTTTATCGTAATTTAATATTTACAAATTACTTGTTGGATAGAAAAATGATACATCTTAAAATTAGCAACTTTTTGTGAGAAAACATTTAAAAAATTTCGATTTAGTGAACAATTTTAAGGAACCTTTTAAGGAAAAATGACATAACTCTAAATACTTTCTGTAAATTGTTTCTATGTAATTTCGGCAACATTCCATCACGGGGTGTCTAATTTAAAAAATATTATTACTATGAAAATTATTCTAAATTTGATCAGAGGACAAACGACATTTCTGTTCTCTAACAGTATAATTTCGAAGAGTTATAAGTGTATCGTTTTTGTAACAAAAAATATACGCCTTCCTCAGAATTGATTTTCTGTCAATATCTAAAAAATGCTAATTTTTTTAACTGTGTCACTTTTTTTATCAAACAAACGAAATGGTAATAGGTTTCACAACTGTTTTAGTACGCATGAAGAAAAAGTAGTGAGAGTTGTTATGCATAAAGCGAAAAAAAGACGGAAGAATATAGAAGGGAAATGACTTTCGTGTACCCCTTATTTTCATGCAATTTTTCTTTGTTCACAAAGGTTGCCTGATAATTTATTAAGACTTTCATCAAATAAGTGAGAAAAGGTGTACTATAATTAAAGCTAGATCTTGTGAACATGGCACCCGACTTTTAAAAAATATTTTTGTACATAAAATGATTTCATTTGTAGTTGTTTGCAGTAACAATAATTTCGTTTGTAGTTACTTATATTAAAAAATATAAAGGTTTAAAAAAATGACTGTCATCCGACTTTAACATTAAATGAATTGTTAATATATTTCGATTCAGAATCGTTTGTAGTTGCTATTGTAGCGATTTTCCCGTCGATTATATCATTTTGTGTATAAAAATTTTAATTTTTTAAAAGTCGGACTCAAGTTTACAAAGCTATAGATCGTGCCTAATAATCTCACAACCACTGTTCAGTATTTTAATAACGTAAGCATCGTGCAAATTTTAATATTATTAATTATCTTTAATCGATTTATAATTAAAACGTTATTGTAGCCTTGACATGTTTTTTTATTTTACTTTATCTCTAGAATACACCATTAAAATATTGTAAAATGATGAGTTGTGAGATACCCCGTATAAACTATGCGTCGCTTATTGGACTTAAAACACAATATTATAAATTGAAAGTGAAATAACATTATAATTAAATTGATCGTCGATTTGATAACCGATATTACTATCATTTTAAAACACTGTAAGACTTTTATTCCGTTAAATCAATGACATGTTTACAGTTCCTCCTTCTGCTTTCAGGAGTGGCACGATTATAAGCTGAGGTGGAATCCGGACGAATATGGCGGTGTCGACACCCTTCATGTACCATCGGAACACATATGGTTACCTGACATTGTTCTTTACAACAAGTGAGTTGACATGTCTTTCATTATACATATATTATATTATATTATATTATATAAATTATATTAATAGAGTAGAAGTACGATATTGCCTTTAAGCCATCAATATAAACCTCTTTTGTGTCTCGTGATCACAGCTGGCGGTTTTACTCGTTAACGTATATCCGATCTTGCCGAAGGCGTGCGGTTATTTCTCCTTTCTGGGTGCTTTTCATTTGATGACACAAGTCGACACAGGTGTCGTTTTACCTTTGTTACTCACTTAAATGTCAAGAAAGATAAAGTGACGCGTCGACTTATGCCACCAAATGGAAAGCACCATCCTCTCTAACTATATTCGTTCGTCATCGTGAAACGGCTATACTTCATAGGATTTTAGCGTGAAGCGTTAGGAGGTAAGGTATCCCCATAAAGCCCCGCTCTGGATATTCCTCCGGCACGTTCTCTCGCCGGATATTTTGAAAATCCACGTTGCAAAAACGAGCGGACGCGGCTGCAATAGCTAGTCCGGCTAGTCCCTCTAACATTGAGAAATAAAACGTGCTCTCCAGCGCGGCGAAGACACTTTTACGAGGAGGTTTCAGGATTCCCTTCCTCCCCCTAGGGAGGCAGACTCGTTTGTTCCGTGGCGACGGACACCGCACCCTCACCGCATTTCACGGCCGAATGATCCCTACGCGTAAGCAATCGCGTGGAAAAGAGTTACGTCTCGAATATACAACCTCGAAGATGTCGATAGTAACCTAACGATGTCCATTTTGTAAGATAATGGTAGATTAAAGTGGATGAAAACGATTAAGAGGCAATCAGATTAATGGCGCGCCGACGTTACCAATTATCCGTCGGCAGACGCGGTATATAAAGCGAGATTACACCGATACGTTTCGATCTGGATATCGTGCACGATATTGCCGACATCCACGCGACCGCGGATTTCATCCGCCGCGGGTCTTCGCCGTGCGCATAATACTCAGACAGACGCGATAACGTGATGCATAATGTGCGGTTAGCTAAGCCACAAATTACGTAAGTCCAAATTATGGAACCATTAATCCAGAACAGGTCGAAATTAATTATCCGCGCCCGCTGACGAGACTCTTGCAGCAACTAAATCGATACAAAGTATCGCTGTCGGTGTGCACATGTCCATTCTTCCGAGCCTTCCAGAAAGGCTCCAGACTTGGTGAAAAGCGTTTCTACTTAAACGGATATCATAGGTTGCTCAGAAATTGCTTGAAACTTGGTGTGTAAAAAGCTTGTTATACATGTCTCTTAAATAAAATTTAGAAATAAAGTTCGTTATACCTGTCAATTTTAAAGCAACATTACAGGAATTTGTTGGCATTAACTTTATCCTTTATTTGTTAAAAAAGAATCCTTTTATTATCTTTTTTTTTTTTTTTTTCGAATACTAGATTTTTATAATCTTATTTAATACAGACATAATAGAAGGACAGTAAACGATAAATATAATAGAAACGCAATAAACCTTTTTTCCACGACTTAATCTTTACATTCTCGTTAAGAAAGTATTTCAATGCAACTGCAAAAGACTCGAGGGTACTGAATTTCATTGAAATCTACCAAAGACTTTCAGAGATAATAAAACGTCTTTCCGTCTTGAAAGGGTTTATGACACTCTCCTGGTTCCTGGGTTGGGAGGAGAGTGGGGGGGGGGGGGG